AATTAAGGTTAAAGAGATTCAAGAACATCTTTTAATACCTGAATATCCAGCAACAGCAGCAGAAGGTATTCTTTATTTTATTTATAACTGCAATCCATTTCCATCCTTAAGGAATCCAAATGATTTCTCTGAGAAGAAATAAATATTATTTTACACGGTCTTATATCAAAGGTATGCAGAGTATATATCTGTTCTATACTATACTAATACTTTAAATAGATTTAGTTTGCAAAAAACCATACAGGGGCTGCAAAGCTCGTCAAAATAGATCTTCTAAACAAGCTTGATGATAACGGACAACACAAGGCTTGGCATAGATCTTATATATGTGGTTCTGTAAAGGCCTGTAAGCGGGTCTATAATTATATACTAAGTATATCACGGGCATATAACCGGGTTAATCTTGATTTACTTAATAAACAGCGCTTACTTTACGCTGAACCCTTTTATCCTCAAGTAATTGATCAACTAATCAAAAAAGAAACTGAAGATGTCTTCTATGCTTTTATGAAATGTTGGTGGCAGGATGGAGGTTCTTGTAAATATCAAGGTATCAAGACATATGGTGAAACACCACCGGTAATGTTTTATTAAAATCAGGTATGGTTTAGGTACATATACTGCATATATTAAGTATATACTAATTAACCCAGAATTATTTTCTCGGTTGTCCCAAGAATTCAGATATTAAACCTTGGCATTATGCTCATCCAGTTCGACGATTTGCTCAGATTGATAAGACTTATCTTCAAGTTTGTAAGGGATCAACCGTAGATGATATTGATTGATATTAGGAAGAAAACTAAGCACGAAGAGAGGAAAGAGGGAATCCTTCAGGGGTCAACTCCGTCTACGAATATGCGTGTGGGCCCCATGACCTCGGTCACGGGGTCAGGTCCGTGACACTACCCCCCTCCCCAAACGTGCGAGGTCCCCTGAGCTATCTAAGTGAAAGTACATACAAAAGTTTCCAGGTGCTAAGGGTTATCAGGATCGTCAGGATTGTCAGTAGTAGGAAGGAAATAGGGGTGTGGGGGTGGTTTCCGGGGGTAAATTTGGTGGTACTTTAAAATCTTCTCTCCAGCGTTTTTAAAGTCTGTCCAAGGTTGCCATGGAGGATGCGTATTCCAATCGTCCCATGGGCCCTTAAAAGTAGCGCGATATTGCAAGCCATTCCGGGTCTTTCGGCAGTCAACAATTTCGTCTACCTCCCATTCTTCGTGAGGCTCCGTGTCGCCTATATCTAGTATTATGTCTGGTGGTTCTGGTTCCTCTAGTTGTCCGGGATAGGGGTTTTCGGAGGCGAGCTGTAGCTTCGATGGGTGAAAGACTGGGGTCACTCCGGCGTCTTGCATATGTTGTGGCAAGGCAACTTCGTATACTTTATTATTAATAACCCGAGTAATCGGCCACGGACCTAAGTTTTTTGGAGCGAGAGATTAGCTCTGCCGCTGGAGTGTAAAGTGCCGGGCGTCTACAAACACACAATCTCCGACTTGGTAGGCGGGGTGTGGTTGGCGGTATTTATTGGCATGCCGCTCGTAGGCTTCCTGGGCCCAGGTAAGTTCGGTTTGTAGCAACTGGTTAACCTCCTCGGTGCGCTGAATAAGTTTATCAGCAGCAAGCATCTGCGGGTGTGTTGGATCATCGAACATTCCCGGGGGCTCGACTCCGGTGCGAGGATGATAGCCGTGGTTAGCAAAGAAGGGTGTCATCCCTGTGGATTCGCTAGTTTGGGTGTTTGCAGCTAATTGGGCATCCGGGAGGTGGTCAACCCAGTCGTCTTGCGTGAAGTTAATAAAGGCTCGGAGGTAGTTCTTCAGATGTTTAATCGCATTCTCAGATTGCCCATCGGTCTCTGGGTGGTGCGCGGTAGATAGCTTAACCTTGATCTTATAGCGAGCGCAATAACGGCGCCAGAAGTAACTTGTAAAAGCTCTACCTCGATCCGAGACAATCGAGCGCGGTAGCCCATATTCGCTGAAAACACGGCGGTGCATAACCTCCACCAGTTCAGTAACCTCTTTAGTTTGCATTGGTTCAAAGATGCGTTGCTTGGTAAGGCGGTCGACCACTACTAGCACGTGCCGGTAGACTCGTCCGCTCCGCGTACATGGGGGTAGGTCTTCCGCGTAATCCATAGAGATATCCATCCATTTACGGTTTGGGATTGGCAATGGCTTTAGCAGGCCTTGCTTCTTGGTATTGAGGGCCTTTGAGCGGCGACATGTAGCGCAAAAATCCCCGTATTGTCGGCAGTCCTCCTTCATCTCGGGCCAGAAGTAGTTCTGGAGTAGGCGTCGGTACATGTTCTTTGGGCCTGGGTGGCCAGCAGTCGGTAACCTATGGTGCATTGTGAGGATTCGGTGCCGGAGGGGTTTACTCGCAGGGATATATAATCGGTCTCCCACCCAGAGGCGGTAGTCTCGCACCGAGAGTTCTCCCATAGATACGCGGAAACCGTGATTAAAGGCGATTCGCGGGAGTTTTCGTTGTCCTCGGTTCTTGGCTATAATCACCTCTTGGACCATGCGGTCATCCTCGTATGCTTGATTAATTAAGGTCTCTAACGAGGCGCTTGTGTCTTCCGATTCCTCAGTAGAGCTGTTATCCTCGTATGGTTCATCATCCCGGGGTCCCGGGGTCTCCTGTGGGGGGTCTGGTGTGCTTGGTTCGGGGTCGCTAATTCCTACTGTATTAGCGCAGAAGGTCGCGCACAGGGCCTTGCGGAGGTCCTCGTCCAGCTGGTTTTCTCGAAGTACTGTCTGGAATCGTTCCCGTTCCCGCTCATCGTCAAATCCTTTTGGAAGGTCCTGAGAGCGCCGGGTTAAGGTGTCAGGCTTCTGACCTTGTTTTCCAGGCCAATACATAATCTTAAAGTTAAATTCGGAGAGAAACTCAGCCCAACGGGCTTGTCGGCGATTCAGCTGTTTAGTAGTCATAAAATATTCTAGGGTGCGGTGATCGGAGTACACCTTTACCGGGTTCTCTGGGGCTGTACTGGTAAGCTCTGGGCGCCATGTCTTAAAAGCGCGGATAATTGCAAGCAACTCCTTGTCGTAGATCATATAGTTTGTCTCTGCAGGACTTATTTTTTTAGAGAAGTAAGCCACTGGCCGCAGAATATCACCGTGCATTTGGGAGAGTATGCCAGCGGTCACGAGATCCGAGGAGTTGGTTTCAACCCATGTTTCCTTTAATAGGTCAAAATAGGCTAGTATCGGGGCGGTAGTAAATGCTTCCTTTAAAGTCTGAAAAGCCTTTTCGCACTCTGGGGTCCATTGAAATGGTGCGTATCGCACCTTGGTCTGTCCTGAGACAGTGGTATAGGTTTGACTCCCTTTGGTAACTTCGTTTAGGGGGTAGGTTAACTGAGAGAATCCGGGGATAAATCGCCGGTAAAAGCCCGCGAAGCCTAGAAAAACTTGGACGTCTTTAACTGACTGGGATCTCTCCCAGAGGCGGATTGCCTCAACCTTCTCAGGATCCATGCTAATGCCATCGGTACTAACAATAAGGCCGAGGTATTTAACTTGAGTAACACTGAACTCGCACTTATCAATGTCAACATGGAGGCCACGCTCGAGAAGCCGCCGGAGGACTTTTAAGACATGTTCGGTGTGGTCCTTGGGGTCTTCACTGTATACAAGGACGTCGTCAAGGTATGCGGTGCAGAAAACATCCAGGTAGTCTAGAACAGACTTATTAATATAGCTTTGAAATGTCCCGGGTGCATTACAGAGGCCAAAGGGCATAACAAGGTACTCAAATTGTCCATAGCGAGTATTAAATGCAGTAAGCCACTCCTGGCCCTCCTTAATACATATTCGGTTAAAGGCAGACACCACATCTAATTTGGTAAATAGCTTGGCGTGGGACAGGCAGGACAACGTCTCTCCTACTAATGGGATCGGATAGCGACTCTTTATTGTGATCTTGTTAAGGGCTCGATAGTTAATGCTCACCCGAAGGCCTCCATTTGGCTTCCGGACGATAAGCACCGGGGCGGCCGTAGGAGAGGCGCTCGGGCGAATAAATCCTTTGCCGAGCTCTTTGCCGATATATTTCTTCACCACCTCACATTCCTGGGCGTTCATCGGTCGGTAATTGCGTGCGAACGGGGGCTCGGATCCTTCCACCAGGCGGATCTCGTGGTCCTCATCCCGGTGTGGAGGAAGTGTGTCGGCTTCTTCCTTTATAAAAACTTGTAGAACTTTGTGGTACTCCGGGGGAACTCGTTGTTTCAACTCTTCAATAGTATAGGATGGCGAGCCTTCCATGAACTTGTCGTAGTCCTCGGGGCGAACAGCTCCAGTGGTGGTGGCGCAGAAGTATTTCTCTTTAGTGCGAGGGGGCCATAAGGAAGCCATGGTGGTCCGGTCGACTGGCAAGGTGGAAGAAGGCACGGGCGCTAACACTCTTAATATCAGGAGTCTCTTCCGGGGACTTCTGTCGAGATAGTGCGCCCATCGCATATGCAGTATATAGGCGAGCGTGTAAAAGGCACCCGTGGGAGAAGCACTGTGCGGAGTTAAACCGGACGGACCGTTCGATCCAGTCGATTGCGGGATTATGTTGGCGTAGCCAGGGGTCTCCAAGGACTAGCTGGTACTGTGGTAGTGGAGCCAGATAGCAGAGTAACTGTTCGGAATGTTCGCCGATTCGGAGGTCAATTAGGGCCGCTTCCGTAAGAGTCGAGTAGAAAGTTCGGTTAGCAAGGTACAGCGGAACAGGTTTATTAAGCTTAAAAGTAGGGAAACGCATCGCGCGGGCGAGGGATAGATTAATAATGTTAATCTCACTTCCATTATCAAGCAGACTTCTAACCTTTTTATCTTTTATATAGGTCGAAAGGACCATATGTTTCCCCTGCTTCAGCTGAGCTTCTGCATAGGGGTTAATAGTAAGGGAGACAACATCAGGAAATTGACATAATTGTTTAAAGCTAGAGCCCTCCTTTCTTGTTGGGGTTAGTCCCTGGTCGCGACTTTGACCAGGGACTATTCTTTTTCCTCCTCCTCGTCGTCGGAGAAGGTTACCTTTAGGGATTGCGGGGTGATCTCACTTAGCATTTTCCCACGGTGGGCGTGCATGGGGCAGCAGGCGTCCGCAGACCGGTGCCCCGAGCCTCGACAGGCCCAGCAGCGGCCTTGCTTATGCAGTTGCGTACGTTCCTCCGGGGTAAGCCTTGCAGGGTTTAACTGGGGTTCATGCCATACGCCGGCCCATCCCGCGGGCTTCTTGGACACGGGCCCGAACTGGGAGTTCGCCCGGGGAGGGGTCGCATTGGGGGTGGTAATAGCCCGGGGGGGTGGATTAGCAGTTCCGGCAGGGCGTTGGTTCTGGTTAGGGCTCGTGGTAGCCTGTCTCTCACTCCGGGGATTTCGAGGGTGGTGGAAGAAGGTCTCCATCCGGCCTTCCTCGACACGGCGTGCGTCGTCCAAGATCTCCCGGACTGTATGGTGTTCCTTTACATACAACGAGGTTGCCAGCCCCGGGAGTAATATAGTCTTAAACTTCTTAACTCGTTCGCGTTCAGGGGTCTCCGCTTTGTCCCAGAGGTCAAGCAGTCGGTGGAAGTATTCGGTAACAGTCTTGTTTCGGCGCTGAGCCACGGATTGTAATTCGCGGTTGGCCGCATCAGCAAGGAGGTGGATACCCATATAGTGTTCTACATCTCCCATAAAATCGTCCAGTGACTTGGTTCGGTCTCGATATACCATTTTCTGCATAACACTAAAGATAGGCTCCTCCATCTGGGAAAGAGCGTAACGAATTCTGGTAGCATCGGTGGGATACATCGGGTAATCAGTTTCGAGCTTAACATCGACTGCATATCGCCACGGTGGGTATTCATTTGCGTTCTCTCCCTTAAGTGGCTTGTTTGGGTGTTGACCACGGGGGCGCCAGCTTGCCGCGATTGATAACTGCGAGATATCTGTCTCTACTGTGTTTCGTGGTTGGCGCGCACCTGGCGGGGGTCCTATGACAGGGGACAGTTCGGGAACTTGCAGGGTCTCCACAGAGGATAGTTCGGGTTGGGGAGGTATTCTATAGTCATCGCGTGTTTCCTGGTCGCGAGGCTGATCTTTAATAGCATAGTTTAGCCGATCCTGAAGCTGTTGGTTGTTTTCCTGTGCATGCGCTAGTTCTTCTTCTAACGATTCGATTTTCCGCATAGCATCCTGAGCAGTCTGTTTATAATTGTCTCCGCGAGCTCGATAGTGCCTTACATGCGCCTCCAGCTCCCCAATTTTGCGGTTCAAGTTGCCCAGTTCCTCGTTCCGTTGGGTTGTAAGTAAGGGAGGTGCAGGTTGGGTACGGTGAAGCAGGTTCGACTCGGTGGCCCGGGGCGTCTGCTCATTACCGGGGAATGGTTGCAGCGGCCGGTCATCAGTAAGGTCGAGAATAGGCTGATTACTGTCAGGAAAAGTGCCGGGGATAGAGGCTCCAGAGGTAGCGGAGGCGTCCGATTGTGCGCGACTTCGTGTGCTTATAGCTGGCCCCTCGTAATCGGCGATCGGGGCTTTTCCCTTGCGGAGCATGATTGGTATGTAGTCCTGATTATAATAAACGAAGCGGGAATCGATGGTTCTGGTAAAAGCTTAGCTAATTCTAATAATCTAAGTGGTTCTCGTGAAATTTCGATGGGTCTTGGTGCTGATCGTAGGTTCCCGCTGAACCAAGGTTGAACAGCGGCAGGGATGGAATGCAACACGGTGTTAAACTTTATCGAGTAAAGGTTCTATGATTCTGAGATGCCAGTGACGTGGTATGGTGCTTAGTTTTAATGTAAGGGATCAACCGTAGATGATATTGATTGATATTAGGAAGAAAACTAAGCACGAAGAGAGGAAAGAGGGAATCCTTCAGGGGTCAACTCCGTCTACGAATATGCGTGTGGGCCCCATGACCTCGGTCACGGGGTCAGGTCCGTGACAGAGATTGCTATGCAAAAAATGGCTTTATTAAAGGATGCACTTCATCAACGGGAGGCAGCTGAGGAATACCAGGAAAATAAAAAGGAGGTGTCTAGACAGTTTATTCAGGATAAGGGCAGTCTAACTGCTGATAAGGCACTACAAATAATACAGGAAAGGGAGGAGGCATTTCAGGCGGACGCTCAGGCACCAAGGCTACGGAGGCCCCCTACATGTAGCAATTGCAATATTCAGGGCCATAATCGATTAAAATGCCCTACTAGATAGTTCTACTCTTATTTTTAAATAATGTATTTCATTTGCATGGAGATAAATAACTTCAAAAAGTATTCGAATTAGGAAGGGAAGGGACGGGGGCGGTGAGCGGCGCGACATTCGGTGTCTTGCGACATTCGGTGTCCGATTACGTTATACCTAATAACGTAACCGGAAAGCGAGTCGGACACGCAACCGAGTCGGACACCTTTGTATTGCATATAAATCAACACTTTTTAGGACATCAATAACTCAACAACAACATATCAGGAGGGCCTAATATTTATAATATAAAATGATATAATAGTATATATGCAGATACTAAGCCTAGGGCATCATAGAGTTTCTATTTCCTTATATTACAAAGGATGAGCTTGAAATACAGTTGTATTTAAAATTATACTGTATTGCATGCTAGAAAAAATATTAAAAATTCTAAATAAAATATATAAACTTTTACAGCACATATATATTAGGCAGTATTTCATTATTAGCAGCATAACTATAATATGGGTTGAGATATTGAGGTCCTAAAAAGTGTCGATTTATATGCAATACAAAGGTGTCCGACTCGGTTGCGTGTCCGACTCGCTTTCCGGTTACGTTAAATTTTATAGATATATTATGTGACTAATACACCTCAAGGGAGTCAAGGCGTTGCTATCCTTTTAATTGCCCATATAAAATTGGCTATAAGCAATTTGACTGAAAAGCGACTATTAGGCATTAAATACAATGTTTTTAAACCAGGTTTAACTCTCTAATTAGAATATAGTGATCAAAATTCCACTGACACCCATGTTAGATCCCCCGATCGACCGCCTGCCGTGCCCAGAGGCCTTAAGCCCCCCTTAAGTGTAAAACACGAAAGCTCAAAGGGAAGAACAAATTGATTTCATTCAGTAGTCCGTAGTTGATTCTCCTAGATGAAGTTGGAAGGTTGACGCTTGGAAGGATGAACTGGTGCGGCGAGCGCCAGGAACCAGGTACGCAGTTCCGAATAGTTGAAGCGTGCAACATTAAGCCTGTCCCTGAGGCATTGCTTGAGGTCTTATTTGCCTTGATGCTTCGTTCAATACCTTTTTTGATGTCTGAAGTAATACCTTATTCGATGCTTCAAGCAACCAAGTTATTGCTTGCCCCTCCACTGTCTTACCACCTGCCTGCTTAGCTACCGCTGCCTTTGCTGCCTCGCCCTCTCGAATAGTTTGGCTATACTAAGCTATACGGACAGCGCGGTCAACTCGCTCCTAATATAATAGCTCTCGCCCTGGGCGTTCCTGTTTTTGACCACCGCGAGGCCGGACAATCGACGGTTCTAGCACTAAAAGACGGGTCTGGATTTAACCTCTTAGATAGTCTATATATTTCCTATTTAGGATATGACTAAGGCACCTGTGTAAATATAAATGCCAAGAAATTTAATTTCTACGCTAGCCCTAATAAGGTATAGTAACCTGTGAAACTAGGAGTTTTGCCTGTGTATTTAACAACGCCCGACGGTTGGCGCCAGGGCTCCCAGACGCCAACCCCGCACATTCTGGAGCCTCCGCTCGGAACCAGTAATCATTAAGTTACAGAAATCTTTCACGTCCCCTCTCCCCTCCTTCTCACCCTCATCTTCCCACTTCAACCCAAATGGTCCCGGAGACGCTTTGAACTCCTTCTAAGCTGCACCTCCCTCCATGGGCAGTACGCAAAGCCCGCCTGGTCTGAATACGAAGAGGTTTCACCTGGGGCGGTATGAGGCCTGGTAAACCTCCCTAGTTTTTGATTGTTCAGGGCGAATTAATTAACAAGGTTGGGAAATCGGCACTAACATCAGAGGTGACAGTGAACGGTGTCACGCTCGCCACATCCGATGTAAGCAGGCCAGTTTGGTCAGATTCGAAATAGGAGTAGACGCTGACGCGATGTCAGGCCAACGAGCTTCGAACAACCGTCCCTGTCGAAGCTGCGAAGGAGCGAAGACAAAATGTACCGGTCGCAGAGGATCTGTCTTCCGCGTCGTACAATATCCTTTAGAGTCGAGAATCGATTCGCCTACAGAGACGAGACCTAGAATTGCGCCGTCCAACACCAATCAATCACCATCCAGTAACACCGGAAAATTAACAACTTCGCATTCAGAGTCTGTGAGTGTCGAGGAATTCGAGTCTCAAGATGGGGGAAGCTCAGCTCAGGGAGAGTTGCACTCAGCCCGGGGAGAGTTGGAACTGCCATGTCAAGGGCCGAATCTGCAGGTAAGCCAGTCAGTCTCCTTGAAATTTATATGCAAAGTCAGGGATTCGAAGGAAATCTCACCACATATTATGCTTCTAACTAACTAAATGAACAGGTATCAGTGCCGACACCTGGTCATATATTTTCTGGTCATTTGAGCGGTCGTATCTGGCCACTTAAAACACAATTCGAGGCATCCCTTTTTCGTTACTTTCTCACGAATCTTTCATCCTGGGTAAGGCCTCTCAGGTGGAATGTGCGGAATCATTGATTAATCCTAAGCACTGATACAGTTTGATTATTGCGATCCACATCGACACTTTCGAACCCATATTGCTAATGCTGCTGCTACCGACAGTACCATTCTATATGCTATACTAGCAGTTTCAGCTCGGCACCAGAGCTCTTCTTCGGACGAAATGCGTTTGTTCGCTGACGAGTGTCAGCAAAATTGCCTCAAGGCCCTCATACCCGCTCTGAATGACTACGAGAACGCCATTCAAGAGACTGTATTTGCTTCGGCTGTAATTCTCCGATTGTTTGAGGAAATGACAGGTGTGTAAAGGCATTTTTATATTCGCGAGCCATCTGGCTATGTGAGCTGATCATTTGACTGATGTTTACTGCTCAAGAGCCGGACCCTCGAGAAGCCATTATCTCTTACACGTTATCTGCCCAAGTTTTGATTCGTGTGAGGGATGGTGTCCCAACCTCGAGTTTTATAGACGCTGCCTTTATCGTCACATTACGCCAGGAAATTTTTGTGGCCAATTTGATTCAACGGCCAGTTGGATCGATCACTGAGCACTGCAATATTGACATGTCACTAGTCGCATCATCAGATGTGATGTGGGCCTTTCGAGCCATTGCACATGCAGCCAAGGTTACCGATTTTGCCTATGACAATGTTTCATTCCGGACAAGAGACCGATGGGAGTCATTGATGCAGTATCTCCAAGATTGGGAAGCCCTTCGGCCTGCGTCGTTTAACCCGATATATCGCGAAGAGGGAAACCCTCAATCATGCCCATTCCCGAAGCTCTGGTATTGTAATGATTACCACGTCGCTGCACGCCAGTACACGGAGCTTTCTCGAATTTTGCTTCTTGCTTCGGATCCAGATACCTGCCAAATGCGCATTGGGCGAATGAGGACAGGCCGCAATAACGATGCAACCATTCGCGATTGCGTTCGAGTGATCTGCGGGGTTGCTTTATCCAATACTGAGTATATGCCCGCTAGGTTAACTGCGGGCTTCGTTATCTCTATGTGTGGTGAATTGTTTCACCAGCCTGATGAGACTCGTGTCTTGTTAGCAATGCTGTCAGATGCAGAGTCTTATCTTGGATGGCCATGCTTGAAATCAAAGGATGACTTGCAACGGCTGTGGGGATTACCGGATTGATGACGTGTAAATGCTATTGGCGTTGTAACTACGTATACTAGGTACGAAGGGTTATGGCACAACCGCCTTTCTATATTCATCCCTTGTCTTGCGTGTTGACACTTTAGCATCTGTACTATTCTTTCGCTCTTATTGACTCCTCCGCCTCCAATATTACGACGATGAATAGCTGGGATGAGGATTTCTATGTAGAATTCAATGCCCTTAGGGACCGAAAGCCTGGTTTTACGTCATACATATCCGTGGGAGGATGGGATACTGATGGTAAGTCTTTTCTGAGATGGCGTGGTTTCTGGGGACGAGGAATGCGTTTATTGAATCTGCCATTGACTTGATGGATACTTATGATTTCGGCTGTATCGACTTGTTTGGGAGGACCCAGCCGCAGAGGATCGAGGTAATGATACCCAGGTTGCACCAGATTACAATCAAACTCTTTTCGCGCGCCGCGCCGTTCGAAATAGGATGTTCCTAAATCGGCATCACTCTCCACGTTCTCATCCAATTGTTCTGACTGTGCGCGGGCGGAGTGTTTCCCAGAGCGACAAGAACGGCGTGAACAAGGATAATAGTATAAGGATTTGTCTGATGAGTTAATTGACTCCTCGCTCTTTGTATACCAACATGCGCGTCCGTCCTCTCGGCCTACAGACAGTCTCTTGGCGGGCCCCACGAGTGGTTGCACCCTTGTTTCGCGTTGCCTAGAGGAGTCTCCTTCCGTCAGGCCGACCATGTCTTGCAGGTCTTAGCTTATGCTCTGTCAGGCTGCGTATTTCGACCCCCTCCCACTAACCAAGCGGTTGGAAGGTTGAGGGTGACAATAATGCCAATGAAAACGCCCTGGCACTTATCAGGCCAGCAAAGGACGCTGTCTGAACCCATACGCGGGGAGTACACAGGTGGGGCGACCTCGTTACAAATTTTCAGAGGGGCGTTGCTATTTCAGGGAGCAGACGGGATGAAGGTGGGTCTGCCAAGCCGCTGGGAAGCTAAACCATTTTTAGAGGTCATGTGAGGACCCACCTATGAGGGAAATATTTTTGGGTTTAGTGGCTCTTTTCTCTTTCATTCCTCTTACCATCTTTCAAAACATTTTTGAATCTTGGTAACCAGTTTTATACCAGTATTTGACTAATCACCATGGAGCTTGTCTTGAATCTACAGGATGGACTCTCAACTGAAGTCCCCAGCAAGAGGATGCCCCACTAGAGTCAACACTTGAAGATCTAGCAAATGAAATTGCATCGGTAGGTACACTATCAGTATGGTACTAGTTATATACCAGTTACTAACTAGTACTAAGGGAGATTTTCCACGCTATCTTACAAATGGACATCAGACACCACTGATTAGTTATAAAATGGAGTATGCACTTGATGTACCAGAATATCCTCAAAGCAATGAGCAGGGATATACATATATTATCCCTGTAGATCCTCAAAAATTGAAGAATGCTCCAGTACAGACTTTTCAAAAGGTAGTACTGGTAAGGAACTAGTATACCACTGGTAGCTAACTGATATACTAGGTTCAGTATGCAACAAAGCAGCATTACCGTGATGTAGAGACAACATGTCCTTTTCTTGGTGTTAGGGCCTGGCGAGCAAAGTATTTTTGCCGTGGATTACAGATCTGTCCCTATCTTCCATCAAGAATCAAAGAGTTTCATCACTACAAGGTAGATAATGAGCTATGGTCTACACTACAAGCACTCCGAAGAAGTGTTGAACTAATAGGGGAATGAAAAAGGAAACAGGCATATAGGTATAGTACCGGTTATATACTAGTTATATATTAGTTTTCTACCAGTTGCACTCTTTAACGGGATACTGTACTAATATATATTAGGAAGTACTATGGTATTTTAAAAGCATTTCGTCGTGGAACTATATGCCGCCAACAGAATTCAACCTGTCGACCAGTAGTTATCACTATGTCTGAGCAGGTAAGTCTTTTAATAATAGTTTTACACTGGTTTCTAACTGGTTTTTAACCAGTATCAACCTCCCTCAGGAACACGTTCACGTGTTCTTGCTTGTATTAATCGTCAATCCGGGCCTAACGTAGATGACCATATGATCAAAAATCTTGAATTTTCTAATAATACAGATATTGATCTACTAGTCAGTCTGATTAACCAGCGTGTCCATGATAATATTGAGGAGTGTGGAGTAATGGATGCAAATATAACACGAAAAGATGATTGTGGTAAGTAGCTATTAGTATACTACTAGTATTATACTACTTACTTACTAGTACAACAGGTTTTGATCACCCATCCGGACCTCAAAAGCTTATCCATTTGGGTTGTAAAGTGGTGTTTAATCTTATTGTTCCAAAGAATCTCCATGAATGCCCTTATATACTCCTAACATCACATGGAAAGCATGAGCATCCTCCTCCACCACCAATAAAAGCACCACCAGAGCTTATTGCAGATATTAGAGAATTGATCCAAAGTCTGCAAAATCCAGACCTAACACTGTGTAAGTATACTCTATTACTTACTAGTATACAACTAGTTTCTAACTAGTAACTAACTAATTTCTAGCTTCATTTCTGCGCAGTCCAGAGCTCCAAGCTCTATGCCAGAGATATGATGTTAATCATATTACTGATCTTCATCAAAGCTTTGTGAATATGGATCGCTTTACTCTTATTATTCAAAAAGCAAAGCTTATTCTATACCCAGAAGGACAGGGCCTTATGGGCTTACAGTGGATGAGAAACCGAAGGCCAGAAATAAAAGTATATTATCAGTATAAAACTAGTTTGGAACCAGTTGCTAACTAATTAGGACTATGTTCGAGAGGTCTTTCAAGATGGGGATACTATTATAATAATATGTGCCCTGGACTCACAACTCCATCTTCTTCAATCTGTCTCTTCATTTGAGATAGATATGGGATGGAAGCGACTACGTTCAAATAACCTTAAAGAGGTTGTATTTGCGATCATGTCACGAGATCATGGAAAGAGTAAGGTACCCTACTACTAGTACATAACTAGTATATTACTAGTAAATAACTAGTACTAACCAGTTAAATCTAGTTATTACTTTACTTCGTGTTTTTATCAATCGTCAAGATGCTGAAGGGTATCAAATAATATTTACTAAAGTATCTCAGCTTCTTGAACAGGTAACAGGACAGCCTTTAAGATTTAAATATCTTCATGGCTCAGGAATTCGGAGTATTATTGCTGATATGGACAGAGGACAAATGGAAGGTAAGTATTAGTTTAAATCCAGTTATTAACTAGTTACTAACTAGTACCTTTCTAGGACTTGGCTATTTTCTGCAAACCCTTTCTAATAGTAATGAAGATTGGCAGTGGCATGTTGAGCATGTTATGATCTTCTGTCGTATTCACTTTCTACGTGGAGTTGAAGAGGTTGTTGGAAAATGTCAACAGCATACAGAGCTTTTCAAGCGAATGATGGCTTTACTAGACTGTGAGAGTGAGGAGGATTATATTGAGCTGGTCCAGCATCTACTACGTAAGTACTAGTTCCCTACTAGTAAAATACTAGTTATTAACTAGTTCACAGATACTGCTGATCCTGATTCAAAACAGGAGGGTTGGGCTCTTCATAAAGCTGACCCAGTTATAGCTGCAGGACTTAATAAATCCCGCTCTCGCATGGATTCTGAAGACTTTGATGAAGCTACAGCTCATACTAATGCAGCAGAGCAAACTCATGAGAAGGGGCTAGCAATGGGAAGAGCTTTAAGTATTGTGAAGGCGGTACAAACGTAAGTAACTACTAGTTTTATATTAGTACCTAACTGGTACCTAACTAGTATATAGTGGCTATCACCTTGATAAGCGAGACATGGCACAATATGATACTCGAGATCTCTATGGAATTCGGCATTCTTATTCTAAGCGAAGTGGGTCAGACCTATTCGCAGAGAGTTTAAGAAGAGGTCGTAAGTAAATACCGGTCATTAATTAATTATATACTAGTTACTTATTAGTATACTATTAGAGCGTAAACGTGAGCGGGAGAGATCACAATCTCATCAAAGACAGCAGCACCCTACAGAACGTGCAAATGAGGCTATTGAGACTGCTAATGAACTATCACAATCTCAAAGAGTCTCATCTTCAGGGTCTCCTCGTCCAGAAAATTATTCGAGCTCTCAAGGCAGAAGATCACCACGTGGACGAGGGCGCAGACAACAGCCCCCGAAACAGGCAATCAAGAAATTCAAGGTACTAGTACAATACTAGTTATTTACCAGTTACTAACTAGTTTTAGTCCTTATAGTAGTACTAGTACTTCTTCATCTCTTCATCAGCGAGCAATGCTTAATAGTGCCGAAATATCTCGTCAGCAACAACAAGCAGATTTACTTTTGCTACAGCAACGAGCCCAGCTAGAGCGGTATCAGTTATTGACAAGCCTAGTGGCAAATGGGAGGCTAGACCCAAGTGTCCTGCTAAACCAAGGGCCTACTAGTATAGGACTGGTCCCTAACCAGTTATATACTAGTACTGAACCTGTATTATCACCTCTTCAGGTCTCTACACAGGCTATTATGAGTCAGCCACAAGTGAACCAGGCACAGGCTACATCTCCTACAGATATTGAACTAGTCAGGGGCCCATCTAGTCAATTTCCGAATATCTAACAAATATGGTCTTTTAATTAGAGGAATAGAAATTTATATAGTGTATTATTAATTACCGTGTATAGTAACTATATATAAATATAATCACATCAGGGAGTGGGTGGCTGGTATAGAACCAGTTATTTACTGGTTTATAACTAGTAGGGAAAATTCTTATGATATATATTTTATAATATGCTTGTTATTATTTTAAGTATACTATATAACCTCGAAGGTTTTGATATTCTAAATAACAACAACTAGCTTTCAGCTAGCTATTTGGCAGTAGCTATTAAAGTCCATGTATTTAACTTATTTCTGAATAAACCAACTAGCTTGCAGCCAGTGTTTCCCAAGCAGGCAAATTGCAACATTAGTGCTTATAAAGTGGCTGACTGGTTAGTAACTAGTTAGAAACTAATAGCCCTTACTCATCCCCTGCATCTGCATCTGCATCATCAGGGCCCTCAGACTCTTTGTCGCCATGACATTCAGTATCACCTGCAGCACCCTCCTCACCATCGTCACTTTCAGCATTGTGTGACTGGTCAGGAACTGGTTTGCTACTGGTACCAGACTGGTCAACGCCCTTACCGTTAATAGATGAGGTGACCTTGAACAAGTTCCAGTGTTCACAGTAGGGGCGTTGGCCACATTCTAAACTAGTTAGCTACTAGTATTAAACCTGTATTTATAACATACTAATTCCAAGCCCACTGTTTCTCTTTCGGCAGACACCACATGGGGAACGCTTTCCATGATGCAAGCGAGCATAACGACGAATAGCATCATGATCAGGCTAATACTAGTTAGCTACTAGTATATAACCAGTTACTAACTAATCACATACCTCATTATCCATCAAGAGTGGGAGCTCAGGGAGCGAAGAATCATCATGTCTGTATTAATTAGTTACTAGTAGCTAGTTAGCAGGGTACTAGTAGCTTACTGCTCCTCATCAGTTCCACCTGCTGGTATAGTAATAACAGTTGGAGATGAACTACTTAATACAATTAGTATAATAGTATAAAACTAGTAATAGACTATTATTATACTTCGTAAGATTAATAACCTGCTTTTTCTTAGGTGTAGTATTGACCGTAGTAGACATCCGCTTTTGCGACTTAAAAGTATCATCTGGAAAAAGAGAAAGATACCACTCTATAACCAGTTAGTAACTAGTGTATAACCAGTCAGATATTTTTTCCTACTCTTGGTCTTAGAGTACATTGCAAGACTAATCTTCCCGTCGGAGCCCGGTTTAACCATAATCCCATGACGCGAAACATGCTTGCGAAGATTGGTTGTAGATCCATGGTGTTTCAGAATACTAGTTAGTAACTAGTTGCTAACTGATATCTAACTGATATACTCACAGAACCTGAAGGGCAATCCTCTACACGACAGAACACTTCCCGAGGGTAAATCACCACCCCAGTTATAGTCTTTGTATTACCATCACCGTCATCGACCTCAAATGTCTCCTAAATTAAAAGTAGGATATCAGTATTATACTAGTTAAGAACTGGTAAAATGTGGTGAAAACTTACCTCATTATACTCAGGCCAGTCAATTTCTCCCTTCGCTCCCCTTGTGCAGATACGCCTTGTAGCAGGGCTAAATAAGGTAAATATTACTCTCCGACCAGTATTAAACTGATTTCATGCCATTATCTTACCTCTTTCGAGAGATCCGCCATTGTTGACAGCCAGGCGGGCGCGTGGAATCGACAATTTGTTATGAAAGGAAATGAAAAATAACCGCTAAGCCAAAATTTGTGGGTGTGTAGGCGGGTCGTCACCTGACCACCTGAAAGTGGTTTAGCTTCCCAGCGGCTAGGCGAGCCCACTTTCACCTCATCTGTAGTCTCGTTGCTATTTGCACACCATAGCTCAATATTTGCACATGTCACTAAACCTAAATAGGAATAGTGTTAAATATAATGTCTTGGCAAATATTATTTACACATGTGCATTAGTCATATCCCAAATAGGAAATGGTTATATTGAAAATGGTTGAATCTAGGGATAAGGTTAATAAAATACAAGCAACAAAAAGGACCACCTACCTAACGAAGACCCCATTGAATCTAACGCTACTGAGTGTATTCCTCCACCGGAATCTGGTAGGGAATACAATACTGCTGAGGAGGCAAAACTTGCTGCTGAATTACACGCCCAACAATATGGATATGCAGTTGTTATTCAAAGGAGAAATAAGGATTCAAAAGGAGTTGAATATGCATTATATCTCTGCTGTGACCGAGGTGGAAAGCGCCCTTCCCAATCTAATGGTATTCGAGAGGCCAAATCCCGACGGATTGGATGTCCTTTCAGCATTCGAATTGGATATTCAAAGCTTACAACCAAATGGACTTTAGTAGTCCGAAACAAAAACCATAACCATGCATCTTCTCCTTCTAGTACCCATCCAACATACCGGAGGAAGGAGATGACTTGGAAGGAAAATCGAATTAAGCCATTAATAAATCAAGGAATATCAAATACTCCGAATACTCCATGATGAGGATAAGAGTTCTCTTATTCAACGGCAGGATATTTACAACCTTCGGCAAGCAATATTCCGCAAATTTCTCCAGGGAAGAAGCCCAATTCAGGCCCTTATTACACTACTGCCCGATGAAGGGCCCTGGATAATGCAATATTGCACTGAAAATGGGCAGATATCTGCACTTTTTTTCACACACAAAGTCTGCCTTGAGCGATTACAGTTAAATCCATATATTCTTTGTATGGATTGTACATATAAATCCAATCGTTTTAGGATGCCTCTTCTTAATATTATAGGTATATCCTCAACAGGAATGACATTCTATGTTGCTTTTGGTTTTATGTGTGATGAAAAGGAAGACACATATTCCTTTATTCTATCTTGTCTGCGGTCCTGCTATCGAGTTCTACGGCTTCCTCTTCCATCTGTAATTGTGACAGATAAAGAAAAGGCACTTTTTCAATCAATTGGAGAGTTATTTCCGGAATCAGCAGCTCTTCTCTGTATCTGGCATATGAATAAGAACATTGTGGCTAAAGCAAAGCCTTTAATCTCCCGGATTATTGTACAAAAAGATCCCAAGAAGAGGAATGACGAAATTGATACAATAGCTGGAGATCTTCTAGCAAATTGGATGGAGATCGTCAATGCAGGAACTATAGAAGAGAAGGATAAAAAATGGGACTTATTCAAGCAAAAATATGCCCATTTTCCAGAACTAATACAGTATTTGGAGTGGGAATGGCTTCAATTTATAACTGCAAAACGCTATCTTAGCTGCTACACCAATAACTGCTTCCATGGTGGGACTACAGTCACATCCCGGAATGAAGGCGCCCATTTCAGTATTAAAAGTGACCTGGATAGCTCTACAGGCGATCTTTTTTAACTGTTGTGCGATCTATTGGACGTACAGTTACAGATAGAGATACCCAGATTACACAGCAGGTTGCTAATGACAAGGTAAAATGGCCGGTGTCTTTGGAAGGGTTATTGTACCGGGATATACGGTATAAAATATCACACTATGCCCTTCTAAAAGTTCATAATATTTACAAGAAATATTTGCCAGCAGGACCTGGAAAGCTGCAAATCAGATCCTGCACAGGAGTGGTAAACAAAACACTAGGGATTCCTTGCATTCATACAATACAGGTATATGCAGAGACCTCACGATCGCTTTCTATGGATCATTTTCATCGTCAGTGGTGGATTGAAGGCCGTCAAATAAAACCACTAGATCCCCGCCTTCTAGTCCTGGAACCAGCAATTATACGGCCTCGTGGTCGTCAAAATAGGGAGCACCCAGGACGACAGCTGTCATATTGGGAGCAAGTTGACCGTGCAGTCCGCATAGCTCAGTATGGCCAAACTATTCGAGAGGGTGAGGCAGCAAAGGCAGCTTCGGTAAACCAGGGAGGTGGTCAAATAGTATATAAAGCATCAAACAAGACATTGCTTCAGACATCGAACGAGGCATCGAATCAGACATCTGACGAGGCATTAAATAAGACACCGAACGAGGCATCGAATAAAACATCAAACAAGGCCTCAAGGCAAGAAATACCCCCAACGATGCCATGTTCACTGCCTCAAGCGATGCCCCAAGCGATGCCTCAAGACGGGGTCAAGGAAGAGAGAGACCAGGCGAGCTAACATGGGTGTCAGTGGAATTTTAATCTCTGAATTTCAATTGGCTAGTCAAACCTGGTTTAAAGATGTTGCATTTAATGTCTAATAGTCCCTTTTTTTTTTTTAATCGCAATGCTCATGGCCTATTTTGTATGGGAAACTATTAAAAGGCAAAATACTGTCAAATAAGTTGGTGGTAATAGTGACGTAAACAAGGTCATAAAAGAGGGGTAAAACGAACTCCCCTACACCTAGCAGAAGAAGCAACCAAAATAATCCATAATAATAATCACAAGAATGATCATATGTTGATCAATATAATCAAGAAACCATCTAAAGCAATCATTTAAGCACCTTTTCAAGAATAGTGTCTACTTTCCTATTCGGTACTAGCCGAATATCGGACAATTAAGAGTCTTATACGCTGATCCACGTTTCATACGGCCCACCGATCCAACTATCCGACCTTTCCTTCCTCTAAACAGAATGTCTACGCAGAATACCATCATTTTGA